AGAGAGAGAGAGAGAGAGAGAGAGAGAGAGAGAGAGAGAGAGAGAGAGAGAGAGAGAGAGAGAGAGATTGAGGAGGGAAGGAGGGAAGGAGGGAGAGAGAAAGAATAATGAAATAAAGAAAATGTTTGTCAAAGTCTAGTTTCTGTGGACTATCTGTCCCCTCAGTATTTTGCTGAGTTCAAATCTAGGCTTCCTGATTCTATATTCAAAGTCCAATATTTGCACACATGTCTCTCTGAGATGTTTCTTGTAAGTAAAACAGTGATTCCCAGGCTTAGCTGTTAGCTGCCACTGTGGAAGGAACAGCAGTGGTAACTCCTTCACCCCTGTTATTCTGTGATTCCACTGTCATGGTTGCTTCTCTATAGGAAGAATTACATAGGGTTACACTTCCTTTGGCACTCAGTATACACTTCTCAGAAGTCTACTTTCAAGACTTGACTTTAACATCATCCTATGATCAATTTTGGAAATTTAAATGAAAATCATGTTTAAGCTATAATAAAATTTAAATTAAAACATTTGAATTATAATGTCGAAGTGCCTAAGAATAAAATGAACAAAAACCATGTGTGAGAACTCCACCACTGAAAAATACAAAAGCAGAGAAGGGTAGTGGCTGGTTTTGGGTGTCATCTTGGCACAAGTTAGAGTCCTCAGAGTGGAAGGAGTCTGTTGAGAAGTACCTCAGTTGCCTACATAAGGTCCAGCTGTAGGGTATTTTTTCACTTAGTGATCAATGCGGGAGGGTCCAGTCCATTGTGGGTGGTTCCATCCCTTGGCTGGCTATCCTCAGTTCTATAAGAAACCAGGCTGAGCAAGCCATGAGAAGGAAGCATGTCAGTAAGCAGCATTTCTCCATGGCTTCTGCCTCAGCTCCTGTCTCCAGGTTCCTATCCTGTGTGAGTTCCTGTCCTGACTTTCTTTGGTGATGAACAGCAGTGTGGAATTATAAGCTGAATAAACCCTTTCTTCTTCAACTTGCTTTCTGGACATGGCATTTTGTCTCAGCAATAGAAACTCTAAGACAGAAGGCCTAACCAAATGGGTGCTCGCCTATATCCACAGTCAAGACTAAATACTTAAAATCAGCTGGCTCCAACGTTACATACAGATTCACATGATTCCAATTAAAACTTGACTAGACTCTCCTGTTCTTTGCAGAACTAGGAAATGACTTTGAAATACATATAAAAAATATAAAGGACCTGCATGTACTAAAACAGTTTAAGAAGTTTGAAACAAAGAGCCAAGGTGGCGATCTCATGCTGTGTAATCTCAATGCCTCCTGAATGCTGAGCAATCAGTGTGGCTCACAGTCACGATGACGGACCAGTGGAGCAAGATGAAGGATGTGCAAAGAGACTGACTAAAGAGACAAAACAGAGAATTCCACCACATACACAGTGATGAAGTAGTGGACGAAATGAAGGATGCACAAAGAGCCTTCCACCATCCTCACAGTGATGGACCAATGCACAAAATGAAGGATGCACA